GACGGCAGGTGATGATAAAGACTTGGTACGAATGGTGGTCAGCTTCTCTTGAAGTGTGGTTTGGTAATGGTCGATCAAGACCTGCGTAACCTTACAGAGCCATGTCCGTNTGAGGGATCTAATATTCGCGTCGACAGCTGATGTTTTCATTGCTGGACGGATAAAACTATCCAACTCAGAGACTTTGCGTTTGAAGGTAAACGCTGGTTGGCCTTGCTGTTGAAGGGTAAGGATTGCCAAATGATGGAGGCAATGCAAAACTTGGAAGAACACCTTCACAAAGGGTTCTTCCTCCTTATGAGTGGGGACTGGTTGGCGTCGGGGGGCTGGTAGTCGTTTCTGTTGTTGGTCAGGTCGATGGTTACCTCTTGATTGGTAGGCTGTGTTGTAGGTAGGTCGGCGATGGGGTGGGATATAGCTGGATGGGTTGGTTGGTGGTCGGCGATTGGTAGGTGGTAGAGGTCGATGGAAGACAGGGCCGTTGTAGGGTACGTGATATTGGTTTGGTTGACGATTAGTGTTTCTATTTCTGGCTTCTTGCCAGTGGTTGTTGTAGTTGGGGAGCATAATGAAAATAACTTGGGGTTAGAAGGGAATGTACAGCGGATGTAACAGGAGGAAACTGTATATGCTAGCGTGAAAATGTTGGGATCAAATTATGCAAATAAGTCAACCTGGGTTTGGGGATATATAAAGCAAGATGAAAAATGCAAAAAAATATATATTTAGGTGATAACGCTAACAGAGATGTGAAAAATTATAACAAGTAAAACAAAAACTTAAGCAATTGAAACGAACCGGTTTTCGAAATATTATCCTTTTTCAAGTGTCGAGGAATGGTTTAGAAGCAGCTATTGAACTTTTCACGTGAGAAAGTATATTAATCATAAGTGAGGAAGTATTTCACAAATTCTGCAGATTTCTGTAAATTTATTTATAGAAAAATGTAGCCTTCACCTTTCATGCGTGCGAATATTAAAGTGACAAAAAACGACGACCTTCTAGTAAGAAAACTGCTTCTAGTAACCTTCTAGAAACTAAATTTAAAATGTTAAAAAGTTTATAATGCCATTCATGATGGTAATAACAACAGGGCAATTAATACTCCTGGATATACAAAAACAAAATCATAACATACAAGTAGTTCGCATATATATATTTAGTTTAGTCGCACAGACTGCTAATACAATTTTCGAGAATAAAATGAAGGGAATGAAGAAAATGACGTTATTTCAACTTTTCAACTGTGTATGTTCATATTTTGAAGGCGGGAAAGAAAAATATGATTTAACACTGTTTTTATAACATTTTGAATATCTGAAATAATAATATGAGAGGGGCGTTGCCGTGCCAATTTGTGGAGTTTTGCTGACTGGTGATAAAAAGNGGATTTAGGCTCCCCCCTTGATGAATTGGGTGCCCCTTGATTTTCCATCTCTGGTGGGCAAG